GGAAGAGGGGGGGGGGCAGAGTTCTGCCCCTTGGTGATGGAGGTGGAATGAGGGGAGGGGAGAGGGGGGAAGGGGGGGGCATCGGGCCGCGTGGGAACCTCGGAGGAACCTCCACCGCGCCACGCCACGACGCGCAGGTGCCGCAATCTGGCCAACATATCTATGCTCCGCTCCAGCAGCGGGGAGGGGGCCGTACCACAAGGACCTCGCTCCTTTCTCCACTCCCTGCCCCCCCTTCTCTCTCTCCCTCTTTCATCAACCCCTTGCCGCTGAACACACGCACACGCTCGCGCCACGATGCGCGCGCTTTCTGCCCGGTGAGCTTGCTCAGCTCTGCTCTTAATGATCGCCGCGATAGAAAATGAACTTTCAAGAATGAGCCGAGGTTGACACGGATCCGGCCGGCCGCGTCTTCCTGACCGCGCGGCCCGGCCGGCCCGCAAGTGACGCAGCAGAGCGTGGCGCTGCCCCCCTCCCCCCTCCCCTACCCCGCGGGTCCCGACCGCACATCTTGACCACACCGGGCATCGACGCCGCCGCCGCCTCCGCCGCCGGGCCCGCCCCGAGAACGACCTTGACGGCAGCTTGGACAGTTTGGTCCGGTCGGGGACCACCGATCCGATAATCCCTCTGCGTAGTGTATTGACACCTCACCGATCTGTCAGTCGGCGTCGTCTGCTGACCGATCGGCGGGGGCGGGTACCTACCGTATCGAAAGCTCGCTGGCGCTGTGCATGCCAGCGCCAACCAACCCCACCGCCTCACCACGCTCGGGTCACTATCAGGTAATAACATTGCGATAGTGGCCCACCGATTAGCGGCCACCTATTTAATATACCGCATCTCCACCACGAGGCTGGTCGTTGCGAGTCACCGACGCCGCCGCTGCTGCTGCTGCCACCGTTACCTCACCGCTCCCCTCTCTTCAAATCCTTACTTTTTTTTCTCTCATCCCCTTTTTACTAAATCCTGCGCAGCGTGTGGTTGTTGCGACGGCACACAGCACGGGCTCGCGTTTGTCGTCGTCGCCACAATGCCGTCCAAGTCCATGAGACTCGAGGCAAGACGTAGGCGAGAAGAGAAAAAAAAGAGAAGACGAAGATATTAAAAAAAAGAGGCGAAGAAAAAAAAATATACGGGACAGCTACTTCCTCCTTGTAGCATGCGGGGGGTAATGAAGATGAGGGGCGCCTTGGAGCGCCGGCCGGAACACCTCGCTGCCGTAATAGAGCCCGGCGACGGCGACCAGGGGCGAGAGTCCACGTCCACGACGCGGCGAGTGCGAGGACGGCGATTATACAGCCGAACGACATGGACTTGCAGCCGGGGAGCACGACACGAACACGACGACAAGGGGGGCTCCAAGCTATGCCTCACCGCGGTGGCAGCGGCGGCGGCGGTCCCCGATCTTCATTGTGGGTCTCACTTTGTAAGGCGACACCAGCGAAACTGATCCAGTTTCCGACAGGGAGGGCGCGATGGTTGAGCGGGAGGGGAGAGAGAGGGGAGCGGAGAGGTAGCGGTATGGGTACGTTCATTCATGTTGGCACAGCAGCAGCAGCCGCTGCCGCAGCAGGGCCCAGGCGGGCCTACCGCGAGGTTCTCACGGTGCTCGCCACCCCCTCCGCCCTCCCCTCTCCTCCCCGCGCACGAGCCCCCCTTCTTCCCTTTCCCCTTGCAGGGCCCTCCTGCTAGTCCCCGCTGCTGCTGGGTTCCGCATGGCAAAGTGGCTGCGTGGGAGCCACGCACGCTCGTCGACATATCGCTCGGTTCAACGGCGCGCCTCGTCGCGTACCTCATCGCGAGGGATGACCCTCCCGTCATTTCCCCCTTCCCCATCTGCCCCCCCCCCCCCCCCCCCCCCCCCCCCCCTACTTCCTCATGACCCTCTCCACAACCCTATAGGCGCATGACTTCGACATGCTCCTTCCTTCCTTTTCCTCAGGCCGCCTTTCCGCATTCAAAGTACCACGCATCCTTCTCACCACACATCACCACTTTCGCTCCATTGAAGTTCCCTCACGCGGACGAGCTTGGTCCAAACTCCGTGACCTCCGTGAACCCCGTGTACGCCGTTGGCCGATCACAACAGTTCCATCCTCCCACCCCGGCCCGGCAGCAGCTCTGCATGCATGTCGTTTAACGGCCGGGCCCCGCCCCTGTAACTTTCATTCCCGTCGACCAGCGCGGCAAACTATATTCATTCATTCCCTCATTCATTCATTTATTCCTTCTGTTCACGAAAACGAACGCGTGCGCCGTCGTTCTATGAGACCCCACTGAATAGAATTGCCAGCCAGAGCAGGAGTCGCCCTGGAATCACATCACATCAGCCGGTGGCGGGGAGTAGTAGCGGGGCGGGCGCCCGGGCATCATGCCGCCACAATAGCTAAAAGAGAAAATAATGAGAGAAAACACACGATGAATGGGATGGGGCGACATCGGGCCGGGCCGAGCAAGGGCCGTGCGTGCGTGCGCGGCCAGTGCGTGTATGAAAATAGTGTAGTAGGTGCGCGCGCCGCATCCTGGACGGCACAGGAAGGAGGCCTCGGACTCCTCGGGTCGGGACGATACGCGGCCGGCCGTCGTCGAGTCTCGTCGTCACGCCGACTCGTGCCGACCGGGCAGTGTCTCTTTGCCCTACGACGACGATGGCAACAAACCCACCAAATCAAATATCGGTAAACGTTTGCAAGACGGTAACATTCAAAACAAAACAAAAATCGCAAAAAAATAAAATTAGTAATTTTCTGCTTGTATAATCTTTTTTTTACCTTGTGGCAAATTGTAGCAGCTGCGCCCGCCCTTTTTGTTGTGTTGTTGTTATTATCATTCTTATTATCCGCCGCAAAGGTCCTCCTCCTCCTTCTCCTCCTCCGCAGTCCGCCCCAGCTGCGGCAGAGGTGTGGGAAAGCAGAGGCGCCAGCCAGGTCCTCGCGGCGATAAGGACAGCCCCCCCCCCTCCTCCTCTATCCTCTCTTCCAGCGGCTCATGCCGCCGCTTGCCTTGCATGTTATTAGCGGGAAGCTTAAATCACCGCACCCGCCTCGGCGCCAAACCCCTTTCCTCTCCTTCCCGTTGCCTTCTTCCTACTTTCCCCAAAGTGTTCGGACTTTGCCCTTTTTAGCCCGAGGTGCTCATTGTCCCTCCGCCGCTCTGCTTTTTGGTTTGTACTCAGTGCATGAACAGTGAAACTTTGGTAGATGTTTCAAAATTGACCCACTTTTTCATCAAACTTTAAAATTTAGTAAAATTGATCGAACCGAACATTTAAAAAAAGAAGTAAAAAATGTTCTTAATTGCATTCGAATTTGCTCTTGTTTCCTTAACAAGGGCCAAACAGATCGACACTATATAGTTTATGAATGACTTAATCATAAACGGTTTCTTTCCGTTACATCACATACAATAAGTACCGTGTGTCAGGGGTAGGACGAGACAGCAGTCTTGAGGGTTTGAATACCATACCCTCCTGCTGGAGCAGGTTGATAAACCCGCATTACTGCTGTGTTGACGTGTCGTAGCCCTGACACACGACACACAGATACAGTGCTACTTTGATCCTTTTTCTCCTTTCTGATTGGGTCGCATGTGTTAATTTATACTGTATCCGCGAGCCTATCTACGGTTCGCCAAAGCGCCGAGGCGAGCGCCGCGAGGCAAACTGACCCAGACAACACAAAAATTCGCATGACGTAAATTGATGTAAAATAACATCAATACGACTCCATTTTAATACCAATTTGAAATAGCTTTAAAATTACTTCAACTTTGTGTGTTACCTCGGACTACCAGCGTTAAGGTCTCCGCGGCGAGCCCGCCCCTAACCAAATGCAACAAGTAGCCCGTACGAACCGAAGCAGGAGCGTTCGAGTTCAAGTAGTTTTGACGGGGCTCCTCTTCTCGCAGCAGGGACACACGGCGAGGACCGGAACCTGTTCCTGTTCCTCCGGGCCCGGAGGCACGCCGCCGGCCGGGCCGGTCGCAACCGGAAGCGGCGCCCGGAGCCGGGGCGTGCTGGGGGCTCGGGCCGGCTCGGGCCCTTTGCGCCGCTGCTGCTGCGCCTCCGATCAAGTCCTCCGTGCGGGGGCCCCTCCCCGCCCTACCCCGCCCCGCCCCGCCCCGCCACACCCCGCCACGCCCCCGTCCCGGCGAACGTCCGGCCTGAGAAACCGCGAGGGGAGCGTTCCCACACCGCAAGTCCTGCGCAACGGAGCGCGGCGGGAGGGGCGGGGCGGGGGACCTGCGGGGGGACGGCGGAGAGGAGCGGGGGCGGGGGCCAGCAGCGACAAGACGCGACGTCCAAGACGGAGACGAAGAAGAGGACGGCCCGCGGGGTCCGCCAGGGCGCGGCGGGGACGCGAGGCCCGAAAGAAGCACGGGTAGGCGCCCGCGGAGTTTGAATCGAGTGGGGGGAAGAGGGGGGGGGGAGTTCGCGACGGCGCCCGCAGAAGCAGCAGCAGCAGCAGTGAACTTGCATGTCGGCCCTTTCGTTTCGTGTGCTGCTTGTTGTCGTTGCGCCCACTGAGGTGAGCAAGTGCCCACTCTAATGGAGAGGGACATACCCGCCCTGCCCCCCGTCGGGCTCCCCACCGCCCACATGCGTCCTTTTGTGAGTCGTGTGCCGTGGTGACCCCCCGCGGCGCGGGTCAGCGCTGATCACAGGCCTGGCCGCCAACGAGGATGTTCTGGAGACGGCGCGGTGCGGTGGCGGAGGCGAAGGGGGGCCGGGGCCAGCCGGGGCCTGATGCAACGAGAACACGATCGGTCTCCTTTGCCGGCCGAGCGAGCGAGCGAGTGGACGGAGTTTGTTGTCGCTGTGGACCGCGAGCGCGCAGGAGAGTCAGAGAGGGAAAGAGAGAGAGGGAACGCGACGTTTACCGCCTCCATTTTGGCCGCGCGTGCCCGCCCTGCTGGCCGTGTGCCCCCTCCAGCCACTTAGGCCCCTGGCGGTACGGCGCGGCCGCTCTCCGCTCTCTCCGCCCATTCGCCCGCCCGTCGCCTGCTCCCTCCCCCCATAGCAGCTTGTTTGCGTACCCGACTCCTCCTCCTCCTCCTGCGCCTCCTCGTACTGCTCGCCAGGACAGGCGGGGCCGATACCGGCGCACCTCGGCGCGACGTCACAGGCAATTGGCGAGGGCCCCGCCACCGTGCGTTACGGTACGGTTGTTGTCGGCCGGGACGCGTGCCGAGTGCGCGGCGGTGGAGGCGTGCGCGCGCCCAGGGCGCACCTCGGGCCTCGGGCGGGCACGAGGGTGACGCGGCACCGGTGGCAACCTATGCTCGGTGGCAACCCGGTGGTTACCTGATCACAACCCGGCCGTCGTAGCCTGGAAAGTATGAGGTTAGACGTCGCTGTCTTTATAAATGCAACTGAGTATGGGCGGTCGGGCGATTCATGACACCACTATACGTGGTATCTGCAATGCCGTGTTGCGCAATGATCCGAACATTGGGTTAGTTTTCGCCTACGATGTACGGCAGGTGAAGAAAAGCTACCACCAAAGTCAAAGTCCACGCTTTTACCCGCGCCCGCGTCGTGGGTGTGAGGCGACGCTGTCAACGAGAAGCGTTTTAACTCTGTACTGAGACCCGTGTTTGTTCTTATTCTTAGGGGTCGTCGAGAAAGTCCAACGCCCGTTTCTCAGATCCGTTCGATAATTTGGTAAGTTACGAGCTAGGCGCCTGCGAAACTCATGGTAGGCCACCCCGCAGTACATGCATGCACTACAGCCAAGATGTTGCCTACCTATTAGGCAATATAAGACTGAATGAGACCTCGCATTGGCTGAACTTGGGAATTTCGTAACGTAGACGACGGGCGCACTTTTTGGATGATCCGACCCACTGTGAAAAATAGTCGTACCGAGTACAGGATTTTTTTTTTATGAAAGGTGTCGTACAATTACAATTCAGAGTTGTAATTTTACGAGCATTGCATATCGACTTGGAATCGAATGACGAGCTAAAGTTGGAGGTTGTAATGTACGACTCGTTTCGTAATTCGTAAATTACGAAATATATCGTACATGCACGAACATATTTTTCACAGTGCCACAATTAGAACGTCAATAAAAGTTAAAGAACCAGTTTATTCCTTGCGTCCGAAGCACAAAATGAAATTTGTGTTTTACTCTCCCTTGTTTTTCAAATTTGACGGGCTTAAAGTATTTTTTAGCGCAGGCCGCGACAATATTCAGCTTAAATTCACAAAAACGTTTTCTCATTGTCGGCATACAAAAAGTATGAATGTCTAATCAGTGCAACACACTTATTATATCTTCCTGCCCAAAACGTTTGTGGCAATTGTATCCAGACACACGGTCTTAGAATACGAAAAAAAAAAATACTGTTGCAAAAATGTACCGAAAGAAAAATATTTTTGCCCTGCACGAGGGATAGCTTATTGTGAAAGTACCCAACACATAAATAGTCGTCGTCACAAAGCATTCGAGGGGTCACGTTTCTTGATGCACTCTCGGGAGAAAACACCAGCAAATTTCTTTTGCTATATACTTTCCCTGTGATTCTCATATCCCTTTGCAAGGAGCAGAGTGCATTAAGAAACTTTTTCTGCCGAGTAAGCATGACAACGTGGCGCGAATTCTTTAAGTAGTGTGATTCTACTTTACCAAAATAGTACTTTACTAGACTCTTAGTTCGACTGTACCGCATTCACGCGTGCCTATGGGTTGCCATGGTTATAACATGTCCACACGCCCCACATGGTATATACAGAACAAGCCGACCTCTTTGAATGCATTCCGGCCAGGCTAGGCCGATGTGATGGCGACGCTCACCTGCACGTAGAACGCGGGCATCGGCGCCAGGTGGTGCGGGGGCGGCGGCGGCGTGGCGCTGTAGTGGCCACCCGGGTCAGCCCCGGGCCCGGGCGGCCCCACGCCCCAGGCATCGTGTCCGCCCGCCGGGTCCAGCTCCCCCGGCGACACCATGTAGCCGTACTGCGCCTGAAACACACACACACACAACGCATCATGAGTAACCGTGTGACCCGACGACCGGAAGGACAATTTAATTTGTAGGTCAAAATTCGGAAAAAGTCCGCGCCCTGGTTGACGTTGGCCGAACAAACCCGGCAAGCCCGGGCGTGTGTGTACTCGATGACCTGACCGAGTTTGGACGTCGTCGGCATGCCGTCGGGTCGCACTTCCGAGACGAGGAGTACATTGAGGAGGGGCGCGCACTTTCCCAGGCTGGTCGAACGACGCGCACGCCAGCGCTCTAAACCGAGCAGAGAGGATCCCCGATGGTTCCCATGGTGATCGATGTGCCGGCCCGCACCCCGCGCCCCGCCGCGCCATCTCAATGCAAGGCCGACTAGAGTCACACGAGGGTAGTGCCCGGTAGAGTCCACGCGGCCACCGCCACCCGGCGGCGGCAGGCACCCGGCTACAGCCCGGGTACATCTCATATCCAGTGACGGGCGACGCCGAGAAGCACGCGCAAATCCCACCGACATGTCACCCATGTCCACGGGATATTTCTTTTGAGTGCGCCTCTAGTGTGTTGTGGGTTTCGCCTACCCCCCCCCCCCCCTAGGCGAATATGCAATCCAGCAACAAATGTACTGCATTCAAAGAAACACCCGCAGTATCAATTTGGACTGTAAACCGATCCTATTCGTCAACTGCTGCACCAAGATTCCGAGTAGATCGGGCGTACCGTGTTGCAGGTTTTGCCTTACTCCACACGCACGGCGCCCGCTACCGAGAGAGTGCCAAAATATCAGCCGAGGGGGCAACAAACAACTCCGGGAATCATGTCTGCACCTGGCTGGGAATCATCAGGATAAAAATTAATCGAAATCAACGGAAATCGCTTAAACTAAGCGTGAAACTAGTGGAACTCGTACAAATTGGTCGATATGAGCGTTTTCTAGCACTAGCAAATAGCCCTAGGAATGAACGACGGGAATCACTGGAAATCAAGTTTTTCGAGAATCGTGTAAAAAAAAGGGGAGTGATTGTCCCCTCGCTCTCAGCACTGAAGTCTTTACTCTGAAACACCTGGTACACTTCCATCAAGTTCGTTTTTCTAGTTGAAAGCAGACAACTAGTAGTATTGATGAAGATTTTATTTTCTGGGTAAGCACTGCTTTCTTACCAAAAGCTTTCTTAAAATTTTTAGCCAAGATCAAAAGTAATTCAATATGCCAAGAAACAAGTAAAAAACAGCAACACACAAATCTTTGTAGTCCTTATTTGAAACATGACATATTTCCCGTATTCCATTAACACTAAAATGCATGAATTCTGGAAACGTTTCCGTAAGTACCCTGCAATAAACCTGTTGAATTTGAAAACTTATTCGGCGTGAGCACCTGTTGCCGCTGCAGCTGGCTGGGAGCCCTTCCCATGGGTCGTCGCGTGTTGGCCCTTATGTAACGCGGCGCTATGGCACATGAAAGAGGAAGAGGGTCTCAATGTTGGTAAACGTAAAGTAATCCGTGCAGCCCGTTGTTGATGTTGATGTGCGCGACCACGAGGTGCGGCGGCCGGGGGCCACAGAGAGAGAGGACAGTAGTAGTCAAAGGGTAAGCTGAACGTCGCGAGCGCTACATTCGTCCCCTCATTGTAATTGCAGATGCACCCCGCACACATTAAGGACATTCCCCGCCCCCCCCCCTTTCCCCCGCAACGCAGTACACGGCCGGTATACTATACATTACACCCGTGCCCGTGTCTGCCCTACTACTACTGGGCGCATCGCGGCCGCGGGGGCGGCCCCGCCTCCATAGCGCGGTCTTGCTAGCAGCGCGACGAGGACGGAGGTCAATCAGGGAGCGAATGTTGTTTTTTTTCGTTTCGAAACGCAGCCCTACGCGACCGCAGGCAGGGCGCGAGGCGCGAGGCGCGCCGTACCGGACGCGAGTGGACAGACGGACGGAGACAGTCCCGCCGGTGGCGGCATCAACAAGTCCAAACGAGGAAATCAAAGGAAAAGGGACGCGAAAAATTGGAACGACTTCGCGGAGCACGCAACGGCCGTCGAATTATGATCAAAAATGATAAAATGATACAGATAATGCTTTGACAACCGCCACAGGTTCTTACACAAAACAGCAACAGCAACAAACCCTATTTTTTTTCTTAAAACACTGGAATTGCTGACGTTAAAGAACAATTTCAGTGAGGGAGACATGACAAACAAAAGGTAAACCTAGGGTAGAGGGTAGAGATAGGGGAGAGGTGGAGAGGGACGAGAGGCACTACCATAGCTTGCTAGGTTTGTTCTTTTTCTTTTTCTTATCAACAAATGGTCTATTGAACTAGGCCGGCTAAACTACCTCCCCGTTCTCCCACGCTTAGGGCGCTAGGCCGTCACAAGAATGTCCGGTCCAGCTGAAGTAAGCTGCAACGTTTTGTAACTGACCCAAGAGTGCGGTCCTCTGGCGCCGTTCTCCATGACGACGGGCATGGTCTGGGTGGCGGCGGCGGCGTCCAGGTGGGGGTCCAGGTCTCCGTGGGGGTGCACGCCGTGCAGCTGGTGCAGCTGCTGCTCCTGCTCCCCCGGCAGGGTGGCGATGACCCCCGGCAGGGTGATCCTGGCCGGGTGGACGTCGACGTCGTACCGGGGGATGGCGCTGGGCCCCGGAGGCAGCGTGTCGGAGGCGGGCGCCGCGGCCGCGGCGTGCACGGCGGCAGGCCAGCAGCCGGAGCCGGCCGTCAGCGGCGGGTCTCGGTCGGCGACGTCACCGCCCTGCGGGGGGTGCCCCGGTGGGGTCGTCGTCGTCGACACTGCTCGCCCCGCCACTGCATCGGCGCGGGCCGGTCACTGCAGCCACTCGCGCGGTTCGACGGCGGCCTCGAGCAGAGCCTCAGAATCAACAGGTGCCTGTGCGGGCCGGGTTC